GCCAAAGGTGACGGTGGCAAGGAACCAAAACTCCATCGGTGACCAAAATGGAAGAAAAAAAAAACCTTGGGAGAAACCAGGCACAATCGGGGGCCAGTTCTCCTCTGGCCAGACGAAACCAGCATGGTGTGGTTTAGTTTCAGGCTGCAACTAGGGCTGTGCGATATGGATAAAAAAAAACCTATCGCGATTTATTTTATAAATTTTGTGATTTCGATTTTAATCACCATTTTGACACACACAGACATGCTATACAGTCATAAATGCATTCAGTGTGAATTTGAAACATATTTCCAAAAGAAAACCAATTAGAGGTTTATCAAGAAGCTGTAACATGTCTCTAGAACAGACATAAGGCAGGGGGAAAAAATCCTGTGTCCAGGGATTTTTTTTGCCATGTATTGGTCATAGAGCTCTTTGTGGCGTTGCCTCAGATGTTGAACTAGATTTGCTGTGCCACGTTCACACGTACTCCGTCTGCAGTGCATATACAACCTATGTGTATGCGGTGCAAAAGCAGCACAGACTCATTTTGCTTTCGCACAGGACACGTTTGCAATCCGCTCCTGATCCGCGGCTGTTTACCACAAACACAACATTTATCCATTATTTTGATTTTAAATCCAAACGTTTCTGAAAATGCTTTTTCAGCGTTGTAATTCTCTTTTATCACAGTACAGTAATACAATCTTTCATAGACATATTCACGTTTAAACTCAATAAATATAACTTTAACTACCACCACGAGTGCCATCTATTATTGCGTTGTTTATCTAAAAGTGCACTTTTCCTTGTTTTAAATCTAATCAAAAAGCCATGTGTTGACTGTGAAACAGTAGACTTTAATTATATGCATTTATGGTGTAATTACTACATTTCCGTAGTAATTTCCATGTTAATTTTAATTCACTTTAATTCAGTGCATGCAGAACAGCAGAAATAGACTCCGTGCGGAAACGATCGCAACATGACTGCTGCAGACGCACTGCTCCTGTTGCACACTGCCGGACCGCGATCGCATGCAGTTTGAACGCTCTGATCCGTTAACATGGGCGCGGACAAAATACGCACCACAGACGGAGTGTGTGAACCTGGCGTTACGCTTGTATGCCCACCCGGTCTGTTCTCGTGCTCCATTTAGGCGTGCTGCATTCTGATTGGTTCGAATAGCATACTGTGGGAGGTCGGGGGCGCGGAAAATCGTGCTGTAAAGCGATTTAGAAATCACGCATGCTCAAATCGCGATTTTATGACGATTTTGATTAATCGCACAGCCGTAGCTGCAACACAAGTCAGATTGTGCAGAAGACTTGTCTGGTTCTCATGGTCTTGTGCCGATGGCTGTCTAGTTGATGACGTATTCGCAGAGGATCGGTCTCTAGGGCCCATCTAATTGAGATGGTCTTCGCTGACATTCAGGGCTGTAGAAGTCATCTCAAGGATAAAACAGACTAATATTAGAGTAGATGCCATTCTTACATTGTAGCGAGTACATCGGGTGTTATGGGAGGAGTTCCTGGTCCCGGTTGACCTAATTAATGCAGCCTAACAATCCATTAATGGATTTGAAAATGTGATAGTGTGTTATGTGTAAGCCAGGTTAAAGAGATGGTTCTTTAATCTAGATTTAAACCGACAGAGTGTAGGGGCGTTTCCATTACTTTTCAAATTGCGCAAATTGAAATTGCGAATTGAAAATACGAAACGCGTCTATTCGCAAAAATGTCCATATATCGCAAAAAAAACGTTTTTACGCTCGCATGAGGTGGTTTTTCAGGCAATGCGAAAAAGGAATAATTCGCAAAACTGCAATGGAAACAGCTTTTTTTTCGCATTTACAGGTCACATAGCGTATGTAAAAAAGTCATATGATCATTCTTCAATGTACTATAACCTCCAAGAAACACATCATACGTGGCCGCTCTCTAGTATAAGGGGTTTTCCCTACCATTAATGCTTAGACAATTTACACTGCACACGTCTGTGGTGCAGTGTGGCTCTGATACGGGCACTGAAGCGGCCACAATGCTTGTTTATTCCAGAATCCAGCTGTGCCACGCAAGTTTCAAGTTTCTGAAGCGGCTCTCTATGCTGCTTCTGTAAAGATACACGCATACGCCTCCTTTGAATAAATATAGCCAAAATCCGTAAAAAACCCACCAAAATCCGTTGCCATGACTTATCGCGAGCGGCAAAAGTTTACGTTTTAGTCGCATAACATTGGTTAATGGAAACGCCGTCATTTCGCAATACTTTTTTTATCAACATTTATAAAATATCGCCAACGTTTTGCGCAAATCTGTAATGGAAACGCGCCTTGTGTCTGCCTCCCAGACAACGCTAGGTAGATTGTTCCAGAGTTTGGGCGCTAAATAGGAAAAGGATCTGCAGCCCACAGTTGATTTTGATATTCTAGGTATTATCAAATGGCCAGAGTTTTGAGATTGCAGTGGACGTGAAGGACTATAATGTGATAAGAGCTCGCTCAAGTACTGAGGAGCTAAACCATTCCGGGCTTTATAAGTAACTAGAAAGATTTTAAAACCACCCAATAAAGCATTACAATAATCTAACTTTGAGGTCATGAATGCATGGATTAACGTTTCTGCATTTGACATTGAGAGCATAGGTCGTAATTTAGATATATTTTTATGACAGTTTTACAAACGCTAGAAACATGGTTTTCAAAGGAAAGATTGCTATCAAATAGCACATCCAGATTCCTAACTGATGACAAAGATTTGACAGAGCAGCCATCAATGTTAGACAGTGTTCTAGGTTATTACATGCAGAGGTTTTTGGTCCAATAATTAACACCTCTGTTTTTTCAGAATTTAGCAGTAGGAAATTACTGTGCCTCAAACGGGTCTCTGTGAGTGCATCATGTGACGCATTTGCGGACTGTTGTCATGCTGTGACTGCTGAAGGCAACATGTATGCCATGTGGTTTAATGTGACTGTCTGTGTGTAACTGGCAGGCTGTTGTTGGCATCTCCGGCTTTCTTTCGGTTCCATTTAGAGAGTACAGTCTGTACAGCACAAATACTAGTGGCTGGTGGAATTTGACTTGCGTATGACATGCTCCACCCTATCTTTCTATATTATCATGTCCCACTTGCGTACCGTGCACTAAACATGTTACATACAAGACATCATGCCCGACATGGCTGTTTGTGTAATGGCATGACCTAAAACTAAAGTGATGAAGGGTTCAACCTACACCCACTTGTGAACATGTTAGCAAGAGTTTGGCAAGTTATTTTAAGGTAGGGTAGGCAATTTTGTAAATCGCTCTCCAAAGCCACGCCTCCTCCAAAACACAGGCAGACCAGAGGCTAATCAGTGAAATGATGAGAGACAGCATTGTTATAATATATGTTATTATATATGCTACTTGTGCATCAGCAGTATGTCTTAAATACTCACAGCACCGTATCGGTGTATGTATTGGCAGTAGCAAGTTCCTGTACTTGCTTTGCAGCAGCAGTATACAACAACAGCAATAACCAACAGCAGCAGCAATTCAATTCGCTCCTTATGAAGCGAAACAATAGATCTGTGCAAGAAACTGAGCATTTATTTACAATATTATTACCTGTAATCCAATGAAGTACTCAAAATCTGCAAACTCTAATACTGTTTCGGAGCAGTATTTCAAGCTAAACGAATCTCATCATTCATCGCGTTCAGCCCCCAAATTATAACCTAGCTATTACATATAATTTGATTGTAAAACGGAAAGAGTTTTAGAAAGAGGTGCTTGACTATTCAAGCTGCAAACCTAAACACTGACTGTGAATGTTGTCAATATGATGCCAATCTGTATAAGCAGGTTATAGAAGTGCACAATATCCCATTGGCAAGTGTTGTACACCGTTTCTTTCCCAGGAACAGTACAGATTAACATGCCCCCTTCAGAATACATATGTGACCTTCATGGTATGAGGTCAGATCTGGTAAAGAATGAAAATGTTAACACAAACTCGTACCTCCATGCTTGCTTCCATCTTCTGTCAGCAGATCCCAATCACAGCTTTGCAAGTCTAGCTGTGGTTTATTTTTTGTTTCTATCTGTTCATCTGTTGAACATCCATTCATTTATCTACATTGATCGCTACATGGTTTTTCTTTTTCCCACCCTATCCCCCACTTTTTGATGGATGGATATTCCCTATTTCATGTCTCTGGAGCTTCTTGGGAGTTTCCAGAGCCTTGGAGAGGCTTCTTTGATTTAGTGCTAGCAAAGCAGTCATCTCTGTCATCAGGAGGCTGCTCTGAAAATGAAATTACCCCATCCCCTACCAGAAATCTATACAATTTAATTTGTATATAAAATATAGTACTGCATTCAAAAAGTTTGAATGCAGTTTAATGGATTTGTTTTTTCTCATGATCTTAAATTCCTTTTATCTAAAAGGCTCATGTTGGAATGTTTTATATTAGTTTTGTAGGCAGCTATACATTTTTCCTATGTATCAATTTATTTACAAAAAAAGTTTCAGTAAATGAAACTTTTTTGAAAGAAATTAATACTTTTATTTAGCAAGGATGCATTCAATTGATCAAAGCGACAGTAAAGACTTCTATTTCAAATAAATGCTGTTCTTTTGAACTTTCTATGCATCATAAAATCCTGAAAATAAAATAATAAAGAATGTGTCTTGAGGAGCGATGATTTCTGAAGCATCATGTGACACTGAAGACTGGAGTAATGATGCTGAAAATTCCGCTTTGAATCACAGGAATAAATTACATTTTCAAATATAAAATACTTATTTTAAATTGTAACAATATTTCACAATAATTCAGTTTTTTACCGTATACAGTTTTTACTGTTTACAGTACATGTGAACTCTTTCAGTGTTGTTTAAAAGCATCCCAGGATGCACCTTATAAAGTTGGTTGAGAAAATAAGTGTACACTGCTATAATCTCAAGAAGTGAGTTTAATTCCAAAAATACTTCTCACTCCTTCACCAGAACCTCTTGGTTTTCTTGTAGGTGTGGTCACTCTGCAGTGTACCGCACACGTGAAATGGCAGCGAGAGCCCTGGTTCCTTTTGTTCTGGTGACCCAGGTTTCCTCCACCATCCAGACTCTACTGGAGGAGCTGCCTCAAGAACCTGGACCAGGACTCCAACAAAACCACATCCATGGAACACTGCTTCAGGTGTGCGAATCCCCCTTTTACAGTAGTATAAATTACAATAGTGTAAAGTATTTGCAAAAACCTTTATAAAATTAGTTTTTCAATTGTGGTTTTCTCTGAAAGAAGGTAATACCTGAATTAATCGTCCCCTTTTGAAACAAAAAGTGTTGACTTTTTTTCGTGCACCCAGCAAACGATGGGGACGAGCAGATGGAAATGCATTGAGGAATATTGCAAGCTCGACTTTAACTTGCCTCTGACTTAAGAATACAAATTATTTGATGTAATTGACAGACACACATTATTGAACCAGATAAGGAGATTTAAGTGCTCAACAAGCATCAATATAAAACCTAGAAGCTTAGGTAAATGTAGATGGAGACAGTGAGATGTTATAATTTTGACACTATAGCAGGTTTCTGGACATGGAACTGGAATAATCTGCAAGCTAATGGAGAGCTGATGAAGATGTGCTCGGTAAGGAAAGAGCTGGATTTGGTGTTCTTTCCTGTTATGGCAGTCATATATCTGCTCAAAGCTCCTGCAGATGTGTGGAGGGAATTATACTGCGGTGAGGAATCACTGAGGTCTGTGTGAGGGATGTTGTGTGGGTGGTGCTCTGGTGACAGGTGGTGGCAGATAACTGTCTTATGCTGCGGTTTATTTAGACATGGGAGGAATTCTTCAAGTCTTTATGTGAAATGCCTGCCATCTGATGCTTTAGTTTTGTTCTTAAGCATGAGAGATCATTATGATCAAGGGACACTAAAGAGTAATGACTGCTAAAAAAAATCAGCCTTTAATCACAGGGATAAATTACATTTTTTAAATATTTCAAATAGAAAATTGTTATTTGAAGTTGTAGTAATATATAATAATTGTAGTAAAATTCAATAATCACAACATTACTGTTTTGACTGTATTTTTGCCTTGGTAAAGAGACTTCTTTAAAAAAATTAAGAGACTTCTTAAAGTTAATTATTTAATTTCATTATTTTATGATATGATATATGATATGATATGACCCTGTTTGCTTTGTAAAAGGCCAGTAAGCATATATAAAAAAAATAAGTGAATAAATAAAAAGAGAATTACATGAGACATCAAAAGAAAGGGAAATCGAGAGTGAGAGGGCTTTGTATTTTTCTGTGTTTAACTGTGTTTTCGATTTGCTGTGTAACACTGGCTCTCTCTTGACTGTTTGAATATGGAAATGATGGATGTTTGTGTGTACAACCAGATTAGGAACAGATAACAGGCTCATGATACATAATCTTGTCTCTATGTGTGTGTGGGTGGGTGGGGGGGGGGTAACTGATGGTGTGAAGTATGTTCAGATCAGCTGGAGATAACATCATGATGCTTTCAATGGAGAACTGCCCTCATGCTGCTGTCTGATGCGAATACCTGAATTGCATGCAGGAGTGGTGTACGTGTGGATCGCAGCATCAACTGAGAGATAGATAAAGATGGCACTCCCTGTGCATGGCTTTGTTTTTACATCTGTGTTCCTGAGTTTTTAAAGGGATAGTTTACCCAAAAAGGAAAATTCTGCCATCATTTACTAACTCAGATGTCGTTCCAAACCCATAAGAATTAACGTTCATCTTTGAAACACAAATGAAGATCTGAGAGATTTCTGACCCTCCAGTCACTGAAGTGTTCAGAGTGTTATTTCTGTAATGTTTTTAGTGGGTTGATAGGGTGTTTAGGATGATTACCAGGTGTTGTCCATTACGTCCACACGAAGCCAGAGCTTTCCCTATCCGATCTTTTTTTCACCTTGTCTCAAGAAATATCTGCGTCCACACAAAACCACGAAACGATGTAGTATACATGCCAGAACAGCATGTGGCGCTGTAATTCTGCAACAGAGATACACTAATAAACGGAGAAGAAGACTTGGACTATGCGCATAAACCTTGCACGCGGTATACAAACGAACATGGGACAATACATTTATTAATCTGTGTTAATGTTAGTTAATGAAAAGACAATCGTTCAGTGTCTGTTCATGTTTTTATTGCTGTTAGGTGACGTAGCGGTGTCTGACTAGGGGCGAGACCTGGGCTGATGACGTCATCGTTTCAGAAAATATAGGGATTCGCTGTCCACACGAAAACACGAGGGTGGCGTTTTCAGATTTATCCACTCTGGGACCCGGTTTCAAAAAATATCGGTTTCACTCTCTCAAAATGCCGGAATCCGTTTGGACGAAACGCCTATACGATACAAAAATGTATGCGTATACAGCTAAACGTGTCTCCGTGTGGACGGGGCCTTAGAAAAATAACCTAAGTTGAGGTGTCATTCATCTCTGTATTACAAATAATCATCTCTGTAGTGCAAAATTAATCACTCTAACATTCCTTTGGACATTACTGACTGCAAGCAAATGATATACAGTGTGTTTTTGTTTAAACCGATATGGCAAGAGAAAATGAAATACGAAAAACGGAAAAAGCGGGGGTGGGAGGAAAACAGGTTGCAGATGTTGTATCAAACCTGAATTAAAGCCTTTTTGTTCTTTGTTTGAATCGGATGCCTGTGAGTCTATATAAAAATAGATTTTACTGTATGTACACCTTCCGTAACACAACACCCACAACCCTCAATTTGCATTACGGAGTTTTGATATCAGGATGAGATGAAGTAAGTGTGTCAGCACTGTTTCAAAGTGCCATTTTGATTACAAAACCAGCTTTGCTGAGTGAAACGCTTGAACCCCGCTGAGTTCACCTAAGAATCCCTGTTGACACAACTCACTGGTTCCCTTTGGAAGCTGGCTAACGAGGGAAACAGATTGAGCAGCACTAACCTAACCTGAAGCCTCGGCCCCTGCACCGAGCGCTCTCCAACACTGCCACTTACCCACAATGCAGCAGCTTCTTTTTAAAAGTCCTGGGTAACATCCAGGTCCTAGAGGGAAATTAATGCGCTGTGTGTTTTGACAACAGTGAATCAGATCTGCAGACATACTGCAATCAGTGGGGGTCTTGCACGCACACACTAGTGTACACACACTTTGTGCTGCTTCAGCTTATGATATTGTGCATGTATTTCTTTTCTCTTTTTTTTCTTTTTTTTAAGTGAGAGCAGACCAATATTTATGGATGGATGGACGGACGCCTTAATTTTTTTAATTTTGTTTTGTAAATGGACAGCCAGATTTTTTTGTGCGGTTTTTTTTTTTTTTTTATTGATTTTTTTTTTTTTTGTAAATGGAGAACAGTCAGATTTTTTTTATTTTATTACTGTTTTTTTTTTTTATCCTTGTTTTGTTTCTGAGTGTATTTGATTTTGTTTAGTTTCTTTGTTTTGTATTTGTGTGTATTTGGTTTTGTTTTGTAAATGGAGAACAGCCTGTTTTTTTTCCCTGTTTTGTTTCTGTGTTTATTAGTTTTTTGTTTTGGTTTGGTTTTGGTTAATTGGGAACAGCCGGATTATTTATTTTAATTTCTCACCATGTGCATATAAAATAAATGTGTATTAATATAGAGTAGAGATGGGAAGTAAGGACGTACAAATACTTTGTTACTGTACGTAAGTAGATTTTTCTGGTATCAGTACTTTACTTCACTATTTATTTTTCTGGCAACTTTTTACTTTCCTTGCATTTATACACAAATATCTGTACTTTCTACTAATTATATTTTCAAAACAGGCTCGTTACTGTAGTTTTTATCTGTATTTTTCGCCATAATAAATCTCTAATAAATCATGAATCGGTTAGTCTTAACTGGCAATGCTCTGATTCGGCTTGTGCGCTCCTCGCCTCCGCCAAAAGGTTTTGATCAGTACGAGAGACTCAAGAATGGTGGAGCGGAGAGGCTAAATCACTGATCTGTTCAGGACTTCAAGTGCAGGTCAGTTTCATCTGTAAATAGGCTACTGTTTTGTCTTTGTTTACTTGGTTAAGCAGGGCCTTAATTTCGGTGCGGGATTGTGTTGTGCGGTGTTCAATATTAGGACTTTTCTTTAAATATATTGTGATGGTGTAGTTATTGTTGTACTAATTTTGACATTTAGGCAATTTAGAAAACATAGTTATTTTGCACGGCCCCAGCCTAAGGATTTTAACCTTTATTATGTGATAGCCATACAAAAAATAGTGTTGTCCATGGTTTCAGAATTTGTTGTGGGTGTATGGGACGGCCTGGATGAGTGAACTTTTGTCCCATTCTGGCCTTGTTCTACATGGCGGTTGTTCAGCCTGGATACATTCATTAGGTAACAAATTTTGAAATGCATGTTATTTTGTATTAGGTATTTATATGACGTGAGGTCCCGTTACCCACGTGCCACTAAAACAGGTAGTAGTAATGGCTACTTTTTACTCAAGTACATGTCAGAGCCCATACTTCTTTACTTTAACTTGAGTAAAGAAAGTATAGTCAGTACTTCAACTTTTACCAGAGTATTTTTAAACATGAGTATCTGTACTTCTACTTGAGTGAAGGATGTGTGTACTTTTGCCATCTCTGATATAGACACAATACAGAGTATTTGTGTAATGGTGCTTTTTTTGTACTTAGTGTCTCAAATAAAAATGTATTTCTCAAACTGCATCGTAGTGGATGGGAAGGTTCCATAAATTAATATATTAATTTTCCTCTAATTTTTTATTTTTTTTTGTGCTGGATAGGTCGACCCACAGTGAAATGTCATTGGTCTAAAATCCCACTCCACATAAATGTATATTAAACATTTTAAATATGTACTAATTTGTATTACATCTTGCATGATTTTTGTTTTCACCATTAAGCAAATTATTTGTCACAGCAAACTTGTCTCATCATGACTGATTAGCTCATCTTTTTAAGTGGGAGAACTTGCACAATTGGTGGCTGACTAAATACTTTTTTTCCCCACCGTAAGTGTATCAAGTTTTTTTGTGCGTTTCCTCTTTGTTTTGCATTGCTGCCAAAGGTCTGGATTTAGTGACCGGCCGCTTCAATCAGCCTTGAAACACCCACAAGCTTTGTTTCTGCTGTAAGGAAAAGCCTGTAAAAAAACAAAGTCAAACTGATGAGACAAATGAGCTTAATTAGATTCCGATTGTGTCCAGACTTTCCAAATCTACTCATAAAAGCATCCGCCCACAGGTTGGCTTTTAAAACATTTCCTCGCAGTCTTATTTAACGGCCGACCCAAAGGTCTTAGTGTATGAAAGATCAGCATCCAGCACTGTATTCAGGCCGTGTGCTGGTGTTTGTTTGTGCATGTTTCTTTTCTAAATGTGTGCACGGCTCTCTGTACACTCTGCTGAATTATGGACCTCTATGGGGTGTTTATTTTTGCCTTTAACCGCTGCCATCGGTTTGTGGTCAGTCACAAGTTGTGTGTTTCGTCACTATAAATACATGCACCGAGGGCACATAAGAGGCTGGCCGTCATGGACCTTTCCACCCGATGGCACGAGCAGGCCTTGGCTGGAAGACCAGGCCTGGTACTTCATGGTCAAACTTGTTTTCCCCCGTGCTTCTCCTGTCTGGGGCATAATGAGTGGCTTCCTGATTGCGGCTATAGCCCAGTAAAGACTATTTCAGCCTGCTGTGCACTCTTTTACCTTGTATGCAAGTTATCTACTATCCATTCACTTTATTTTCTTTCTTTCTACAGACCGTTATATGTAAGGATATGTAAGATAAGCTAAAGAAACAGATTTTCTGCCTGATCCCTGTTTGCTATTTCTTTTTGTTTAAGGTGAACTAATGAAGAATCTGATCTGTCTTTCTAATTTCTCTGTCTGGTGTCTTTCCTACTTCTATGTCTGATCTCTATCTGATCCCTCTGCGATTTATCTGTCTGATCGTTTTGTGGTTTATATGTCTGATTCCTGAATTATTTGTCAGATCTCTCTCTGATTTCTCTATCTGATCCCTCTGAGATTTATCTTGTCTGGTTTCTCTTTGGTTTCTGATGTATCAGTCTGATCACTTTGTGATTTTTCTCTCTGATCCCTTTGATGTCTCTGTCTGATCTGTCTCTGATGTATCTGTCTGTTCCCGCTCTTGTTCATTTGTTAGATCTGATTTATGTATCTGATATCTCTCTTTGATCTTTGTCTGATCTCTCTCTTATTGTCAGTCTGATCTCTGCTATTTATCTGCCTGGTTTCTGTTTTTGATCTCTCTCTTTATCCGTCTGATCTCTGTGATTTATCTCTCTGATTTCTCTCTTTGATCTCTGCAGTCTTTGTTTGGTCTATCTGATTTATCTGTCTGTTTTTTTTCCTCTCTCTCTCTGATCTCTGTGATATATCTATTTGATCTGATTTCTCACTTTAATGTCTCTGATACCTCTTTTTTTTTTAATGTTCTGATATTTGTATCTGATATCTCTCTTTGAAATCTGATGTCTGATCTATCTCTGAGTTTTATGTCTGATCTCTGTTATTTATCTGTCTGATTTTTCTATTTGTTTATCTGATTTATCTCTCTGATTTTTCTCTCTTTGATCTCTGATGTCTCTGTCTGAACTATCTCTTTGATCTTTGTCTGATCCCTCTCTTTGATTTATCTGATCTGATATCTTCTATCTGTAATGTCTATATCTGATCCCTCTCTTATTTATTTGTCTAATCTCTGATTTATGTATCTGATATCTCTCTTTAATGTCTCTGTCTGATCTCTATCTGATTTATCTATTTGATCTGATCTGTTATTTATCTGTCTGATTTCTGTCTTTGTCTAAGTCTGACCCCTCTCTGGTTTCTGTCTTTTCTTTGATTTTTGTCTAATCTCTTTGAATTATCTTTCTCTGTTTTCTCTGATATCTCTGATCTCTGATCACAATTAAAGGGATAGTTCACCCAGAAAATGACCCCATGATTTACTCACCCTCAAACCATCCTAGGTGTATAGGATTTTCTTCTTTCAGACGAATACAATCAGAGTTATATATAAAAAAACATGTCCTGGCTCTTCCAAGCTTTATAATGGCGTCCATCCATCATAAAAAGTACTCCGCATGATCTCTCTCTGTGAATTCAATCTCTGATCTCTCTATTTCTTTCTCTCCAGCTTATTCTTATACTAAAGATGTGTCATCTTCTTCACAGGTGCTGTTGCTGTTACGTTCCTACCTGGCGGACACACACCGACCCCAGTCAGGAAATGAGCAGCAACGTGACCTCTCCAGTGCCCTTTTTCCGTGGCTGTGGCTCGCCACAAGGTTGGTATTGTCAGTCTGATACACTAACCGCTACTGTCATTTATATGCAAATATGTCAGCAAATATAGTGTGCATATAAGCATCATTTTGGGTAAGCATTTGAAAATAACATTATTTTCCAAAATAAGATGGCTTCTCTGCTCACACACCAACCTACTGGAGTGTAAAGTGAGCTTTCTGCATTCTGAACTCCTGTTTAAACATCTCCTCTCTGCCCAACACACAGACAGCAGCGCTGCAGGGAGTGTGACAAGGCTACGTGCCCTTTGACCACTCTCATTCATCCATACTGATGTTTATAACAAACACCTAATGAGAGAGAGACTTTTGGGAAAGTTTATGAAGATAAAACATGATGGTAGTGCTTACTGAATGGAATATTAGCATACTGGGCAAGATATAATGTATTCTGCCTACTAGAAAAGTATATGAAACAGCATGCAGTAATAAACGTTTCTGATTGTATCAGTCTGATAAATCGTATGCTACGTTGTCCCATGAATGCGCGATGTTGCATGTTTCATTTATTGAGTGGTGTCCCAGTTAGGGTTATTATAGTAACTAAAACTAAAATAAAAAATCATTGTTACTTGAAATCAAATAAATGTTAACTGAAACATTTCTCATTTACATTTAGTTTAAAATTTAATTTAACTTGATTTTCTAAAATAATGAAAAATTAAATTAAAAAAATTAAAATATATATAAAAAAAAGAGAGAGAAACAACAAAACTATTAAAACTTTAACTTAAAATAAAAGGAAAATAAAATGGATTCCCAATGTTTATATATATGTATGTATGCATGTGTGTGTGTGTGTGTGTGTGTGTGTGTGTGTATAAATTAACAGTAATTTATTTAAATCAGTCAGAAATAATAAACAGTAGTTATTTTCTACTGTTATTTTTAATCCAGTTTTGTATGAAATGACTCGCCTTTTATCAGTCCAATCAAATATTGTGTCAAGAAGAAGATAAATGATGTAGTTTCTGTCCATTCCTATTGCTGGAAAGGGAATGTCAAGTTGAGTGCTTTGCATTTTGGGATACTGTGCTCTTTTTGTATATTGCACAATTTGGCAACTGTAACAAGTAATTACAGTATTCCATGCATAGAGAAAATGTTCACACTGTGCATTTTATACATACTGCATACTGCATGTTTTATAATACTAGTGTTGGTAGTATGTCATTCCAAACATACACACTGAAGAGATTTGGGGAACATTTAGAAATATGGAAAAATTCCAGAGGAATGAAAGAGAATCTAAAGGGGGAGGTATAAAGATGAAATGACAGAGTTCCCAAACATCTGACCAAATTTCCCTGTAATCCGTAGCTTTGTAATTTGTTGAATTCTGAGTAATATTATGTGTTTAAAGAGCAACAGAGGGACACAAAGAGATGAAGCCAGACATTCAAAGAGAGAGAGAGAGAGAGAGTTTGTGTTATTAATATCTCAGTGATGAAATACTGACGTCAGCCCTGAACACTGGCCCTCTTGTTCTTGTCCATGAGCGTTTGCTGTGCTGTGGTCTCTCTCACACACACACACACACACACACACAAACAAACAAACAAACAAACAAACACAAACAACTGATTCACTCTTCCACATACTCACCCCTGTCTCTATCCACACACATCCACCCTCTCCCACAAATGTTACCCCTGCAGTTGGTCTGAGCTACAGGGCCCAGAATTCCCTTTGTGCCCATGGGCATCTCATGTGATGCTTTATCCTCAGCATCCACAATCACTGTGGACTCTATTTTACTGCTCTCAGTTGCAGGATACATACAGAATATTTCTATTATTTATTTGAATATTCTAATTTGTTGAGATTTTGTTAAATGTGAGCCAAAATCATCACAATTAAAAGAACCAAAGACTTAAAGTACTTCAGTCTGTGTGCATTGAATTTATTTAATACACGAGTTTCACAATTTGAGTTGAATTACTGAAATAAATGAACTTTTCCACGACATTCTAATTTATTGAGATGCACCTGTAATCAGTTACTCTCTAATACAATGACCCCCCCCCCCCCCCTAATGTTTTGACATATAAGTTATATATAAATATTAATAAAAAAGAAATATATCAAGTATAGTTAACTGCTAAAATTCATTTAGTTATTCAGTGTACACAATAATTTATCTATTTTTGATGCAAATTTTTAGGGATGCACTAATACTGAATTTCTCATCCGATACGATGCTTTCCTGAGGTAAACACAACATTAAGTGACATATTGGTGACAAACTGTATTATCAGCATCTTTCCATGATTGAAACACTGAGCAATTACATGAGACATGATACATTTCAGTAAGTTGCACTGTATCTTTCTGCATACCTTCTGATGTTCAGTCATGTTTATTTCATGCTATAACTTGTATTAAAGTGTAAGAAATTATTTGCATGCTGCTTTGCCGCTTGAACTAGGGTACAGCGATCTGTCGCGCATTACATTTAAAAGCATCAAAATTACATTTATTGTTTGAATTTGGTGATAAAATGGACAGCATTTGAGAGCTGAGACTTTGTTACTTATCAGAAGTACAAAAGCCCAAAGCTCTTTACAGTTATTGGATAATAGGCATACTACAAATATTGTTTGAAAGAGATAAAAACATGGACCTAGCAACCCGGCCTTTAACTACGGGTGATTCATAGGATCAAATAGAACCTGCATTACATTTTTGTTTTTAAGTGAGATTGCATTAATGCATTATTATTGCATTAACTTTGACAGCCGATTATTGCCCGATACGTTGGTGCATCTCTAATAATTGTATATAAATTACACTATTTCTATATTGCCTTTTTTTTTACATTAACATTTCCATCAAATATTGTTTTTCTCTTTCTCTTTTTTTTTTTTTTTTTTAACAAATCACCCCGTGTTCACCACACTTGAAAAATAAAGTGTGTAGTTTCTGTACAACTTATTGAGTAAATGCAATGAAAATACTATGCCGTATATAATAAAGTATTAGTGTAAGCGAGATTAGCGGCAACCACGCTGGCGATGCTAGCGGGCTATATGCTAATAGCGGACTCGGAAAGTCAAAAATAGAACTAGTGATAACAAGGCGCTCTGATTGTTTTTGTTGTAGAATACGATAGGGGATATATTCACACGTTATAGAACTGAAAAAGGATGGCGTATAAAATTTATTTTAAGATAAAAAAATTAGACGACAAAGAATTAACTTGACGGAGCTCAAACTCAAACCACACGGCAGCAACAAACAGGCGTGATATCTGTCTCGTGATATCGCACAATAAAATTGTGTATAAAATTGATTTTAAGATAAAAAATTAGACGACAAAAAATTAACTTGACGGAGCTCAAACTCAAACCACACGGCAGCAACAAACAGGCGTGATATCTGTCTCTCTCACACACAAACTGACAGGCAGAATCCATGTCTGGTGACACGTGGTGTGTTTCTAGACCTGCTGGGCTGGGCTGTGTTTGTGGTTGTCTTCCTGTTCCTGTATCAGGTAAGAGCTCAAAACACCATCTGTAGTGAAATAAACATGAGTATCATGTGCTTGTTTCCAAATCTATAACTTCCAGTCTAGTTTTTATTCCAAGGAAATATGGTGTCTGCTTGAGTGTGTGTTATTTTGAGTGTGCTGGAGGCCTGTGGGTCTTTGATACAAGAAAAAGGCTAAACTGTCTCTGACAGATGGTACAATTGTGCCCGTGTGACCCAGTTAAATGGGGCGGCCCCTGCATGTTTGCGGGCCCCATGTGTCGCACACATGTGCGCATGGTGACCGTGTTTATCACTTTAAAACAAGCATATTCTTACAGTCCCACCCGCCTGCCATGACTTACATAACAAACGGTGGGAGCACACACACACACACACACATTTGTGCTGTGCAGAGATTTATTTATACACTCTGCCATGTACTCTCAGTCTTAACACCCTCTTAATCTCTGTCTACTTTTCCTTTTATTTCTCTTAACATAAATTTCACTTGATCTATCTCAATATTTCACTGTCTGTCTGGCTTTGTGCAGTGTTTTCCACTCCCAGTTTAAGGAATCACCCTAAATTAAAATTGTCGGAAAACTTTGTTAAAGTCTTGTGACTTACTTTGTGCCAGGTAACACAAAACGAGATGTTAGGCTGAATGTTTACACTGTTCTTTGTCATATGATGAAAGCAGATGGTAAAAAGGGGATGTCAAGTAAAAATGACAGTCAACTATAAAAGTAGTCTGCATGACTTGTGCATATCAATATTAAATTCCAATCCTATATTCCAAGTTTTCTGAAGTCAACTAACATGCAAGAAACAACGCAATTTGTTTTTACTGACATCAAACCAAGTTGTAGGACTTCAGAACATTTGAAATATTACACACAAGCATATGGACAATTTTATGGCGCTTTTTTTTTGTCCTTTTGCAGATTGATTGGAATATATTGCTATGAAACATCTCCTTTTGTCTTACACAGAACAAATATATATATATACATACACACACACACACACACACACACACATTCTCACAGAAGTGAGTACACCCCTCACATTTTTGTAAATATTTTATATCTTTTCATGTGACAACACTGAAGAAATGACACTTTGCTACAATGTAAAGTAATGAGTGTACAGCTTTTATAACAGTGTAAATCCACCCGGAGCAGTGGGCAGCCATTTATGCTGCGGCGCCCGGGGAGCTGGGGGTTCGGTGCCTTGCTCAAGGGCACCTCAGTCGTGGTATTGAAGGTGGGAGAGAGCGCTGTACATTCACTCCAACCCACCTACAATCCCTGCCGGTACGAGACTCGAACCCACAACCTTTGGGTTATGAGTCCGACTCTCTAACCATTAGGCCACGACTTGTTATATATATATATATATAACAATTTATTCATTTATTTATAAAAAAAGTTGTACTGTAAGGCAAATACATGTTTAGATAAAAAAAAAAAAAGTTCAAAGAAGCAAAAAATGAATAAAAAAATAAAATAAATAATGCTTAAAAAAACTCCAATCCCCATCTAAAATAATGGTACAAAAGCATTTTACTAAACATAATTAAAACTTTTTTAAACAATTAAAACATAATTAAAACTTCATAATTAAAAGCAAATAAAAAAGTTACTAATGAAAATAAAAATAATAAAATTAAATATTTAAATAAAAAAATACAATTCTTAATGTTCCTAAAATGGTCTTCATTTTCTTTAAGCAAAATATTTTTTTTCATATTTTACAGTACACTTGTTGTATGTTACATGTAATTACACATTATTTACTGTTATTATGTATAGCAATTATAAGCAACCAACCCTAAACCAACCCCTAAATCATAAACAAAGTGATGTTAATTAATATCAATCAGTACTTATTGGTCTAATTCCACATTAACAAGGAGACCTTAAAATAAAGTGTGACTAATATTTCTTTTTTTCCTGTTTTTATTTTGAGATATGTGTGATTCACCCTCCCATACTTTTGGTATGTCTGTTTACATCTTTCTCACTCAGCCAGTCACTTTCTCTTTCCTACAGCACACTTTTCACAGGTGTTAGTAACCTCAGTGAAGAAATGAACATTTTAATTTGTCACTAACACTTCAAGCTAGTCAGAAGGACCGTAACAATCTGCTTTTTCATTAGTCTTGGAACTATTAAGTAGGAGTTGAAATTTTCTGGGCAGTTCTTGCATGAGTTCCCATTCTGATGTACTCCTCACTGGAACGGGACGTGTGTGTGTGTGTGTGTGTGTGTGTGTGTGTGTGTGTGTGTGTGTTGTGAGGCTGAGAGCTCTTAAGTAGTTTGGCTCTGAGACTGAGCAGAGTTTGTGATGGTGTTTTTACTGGCGATGCTTTAGCTGGCCATGAGATGTACGGGTTTACGAGCCTGTGTGGATCAAACACTGTACCGCCTGAGAAATGCTCTCTTAACATACACCACCACACACCAATTCTCTGATTGCCATTCAAACCATCATTTTTGCACAAATGGTACTGTATTCCCCATATTTCTCTCAGGTGAATAAATCGTGGATACCGCGCTCACACACTCGTCAGTAGGTGGTTGGCAGAGAGAAAGCGTTTGCATGCTCACATCTGCTCTGCACGTTCCTCACTCGTCTGGGTTTTGTTTTTCACAGTTTAGGTAATGATGGCAGGGCATGATGTAAAATCCATGTGTGCGCGCAAGTTGCCGCATGTGTGTATCGATGTGTGTTTACTACTGTAGTGAGCACAGACGGCCCACTGTTTCCCTGCACCATAAACTCTAGCTGAACACTTTGAAACAGAAAGATGGCACACGGACTTTAACAGCTAGTGTGTTGTAAAGATGCTGGGGCCGTAATACTGTATTTCACAGAATTATTGAGTGTTCCATCTTCTATAAAGTGAGAAAGTGTTATGAATAACTAAAGGGATTCAAAATGGCCTCATCATTTACTAGGGCTGCGTTGCAAATAGCAATTAGTTGATTTTAATCAATCTTCTTTTTGAAAAACGTATATGGATTCTTAATAGTGGTGTCAAAATTAGCGCGTTAACGCAGGCGATTAATTTTTTCAGTTTAACGCGTTAAAAAATATTTAACTCAATTAACGCTTGGCCACGCTACTCACAACTGCTGCTTCAGTCACTTTTTCTCTTGACAAGAAGTGCATTTATTCAGTCGCAGAACGACTGAGAACGGGAGACGTTTCAGACGCGCACTCCACTTCACTTCAGCACCAGGCACGAGTCAAACGAGTGCGGAAACGGTACTGTGCTCGCAGCGCGTTCTCTTCACTTGCACGCACAAAAGCGCCGGCGCACACTGTAGCCTGTATCCTTTTATATCAAAGCACGAAATAAACTGTGCATGCAATGTTGTGGTCAATTAAGTCATGAAGTCACATTTAAGAACATGTCTCTGAAATGGTTTTCAAAACTGTCTTTGAGCAGCCCAGCACTGTCTCACTCATCTAACATACCCGATGCAGCGGCAGCTCTTAATAAAATAACAGCCAAAACAACCTAATAACAAGCTGCTGTGATGTCTATTTATCAAAGGACAAAATGAACTTTTATAGCTTTAAGGACTCATCTATATTAAATTTAGAATTTAGTGTTTGATAACTTCAGTTTCAATTTCTGTATATTTCTGCTGAAGGGCACAGGTAAATATGACATTTATTATAATGGGTTTATGTGAAGATTGTTTTAAGTTCACTGAAATTAGAAGTTATTTTTATAGGCTATAATCAATGGTTAAAAATTGGGGGGGAGGGGGCAGTTTTATAGAGAAATCAGTATTGGTATCATTGATACTGACCATCAGTCAAAAAAAAAGATGCCATTAAACAAATATAAAAAAATATACTGTCTTTATGTTGTTTGTACATTAATTTGAAGATTGAATGTAAAATTACTGCAATATAAAAGTATATTTAAAAACGTTAATGTTAGGTAAGATTAATCGTGATTAATTTCAGAAAAATGTGTGATTTAATTAGTTTTTTTTTAAATCGATTGACAGCACTAATTCTTAAATGTCACGATATTATACTGTACCAACTGACAGGTTACCTGTATAGTTTAGAGCTTTACTTGAGACTATTTAAGAAAAAATGACATTTACTGTACCTGATATATATCCAAGTGAATCGATATTGAATTGAAATTGGAAACAAATCAAGAGCTTGTGAATCGAATTGTGAAAACTGTGTCAATACCCAGCCCTATAACTCACCCTCATGTTTTTCTATACCTGTATGACTTTAAAAGATGTTTTTGAACAATGTTCATATTTCCTATACAGTAAAAGCATATAGTAAACAGAGGATGTCAAGCTCAACAAAGACCAAAAAGCATCATAAAGTATTGTAAAAATGGTCCATGTGCCTGTATGCTGTTTTTTTCAAAGACTTTTGAAGTCATACAATAGCTTTAAAGCAATATATATATATATACTGTATTGATGTGTACTCTGAAAAGTGTTACAAATAAATTTGAGTTTGAGTGATAAATGGGCCACAATTAACATGAACATTCTTCAAAACATCTTATTTTGTGCTAAAGGCAAGATGTGTAATGTGTTCGGAACAACATGAGGGTGACTAAATGATGACGGTTTTCATTTTTGGGCTAAAAATCCGTTCAGAGTTCTTTCTTTTCCTGTTTTCATTTCTCCTTTCTTTTGCTGAGAGTTTCAAGAGAAAACGGTCTCTCCGGGTTGTGAGTGTTTTGCCAGTGTTTGATTTCACTGCCCTGGGCTTTATTTTCTATTGCCAGTGACTGTAATATTGCTATTTTTATGAGAGAGCAAAATCTGGTCATTGAGACTTGGTGGTCGTGGCATTGATGAAACCACAGCTTTCTCTGAGTCACGCTGGGACGACGGCTGTGTTTGTGTGTGACGCTCTGGACGTCTCTCTGGACGTCTCACTGGGCTGTTCAGGTTTTCATAAAGATTCCAGCACTTTCCTAGAACTACTGTCTCCAAACTCACACACACATTGTCTGCCACAGTCTGTCCTGCTGAGAAATGCCTTTCATTTCCGAGATTAATCATTACCGTGGTCCTCGGTCTCTCCAGAGGGCCAGCAATAATAATAAATGCCATGGTGAATCGTTCTTTCTCTCCACCGTACTCAGTTTACTTTCATTTCCACTTTCTTCCCCTGTTCTGTGTTTCTGCCTCTGAGTATGTTGGAGGAAAACAGATATAGATGGAGTATAAGAGGGAAATAAATCAGCATTGTTAACCGAAGTCTGTCTCATGACTGACTAGTCCTCATCACCCTCCCTCAGTTAATGATGTTTTTCTCCCAGTGTGTTGTTTTGTGGTAATGAGTACTTGGCTTAAGTTTAAAGGCTTGAGAATGGTTAGCATCACTCCGCTTATGACCCACTACAGCTTTGATTTGACTTTTCTCTCGCTTTGAGTAACTGCGGCAATCTTTTTTTTTTGGAACCTGTTGGAGAACCATTCTGTGAAACTGTGCCTTCTACATTATGGAAAAGTGTTTGTTAAAGTACTTTTTCTGTATGATTTTAAACATCTAGCAGACATTTGTAGCACTTGTTCTAGTGTGAATGGGAAAAACCAATACTTTCTGTTAAAATATATTAAATTGTAATCATTTTTCACAATGTTACTGTTTTTATTAAAGTTTTGATCAGAATAATAGCAGCCTTGGTGAGCATAAGTGTATATGTAATCATTTTAATTGGTGAGCATAAGTGTATATGTAATTTTAATGACTTTTTTTAAGGAACATTTAAGCGAGTCTACAGATGTCTGTGCCTGTGTCTGAGTGAAGCAAGAAAACATGAACAAAAGCATGTGGAAGTGATCTGTATTTATGATAAATTACTCTTTAAATAGCTCGCTGTCTGTTTCTTGTGTTGGTAATGTCTGTGTCAGGGTACTGGTGATGAGGTATTTTCCACATTAGATTAGATATTCCAGTTCTCATCACTACAAGCGTTTGTCAACATCCCCACCCTGATTTTAAACATGCCTTCCCATCACCCCCTTCTTATAATAACGGTCAGGGTCTGTGTGAACATGTCAACAATTATCATCATTGAAACAGGTGTTGAGCAATGTCCGTGCCCTAAAGAGACATGCAAGTACACACACATACAGAATTCTCTCTCACACTTGGCTAAATTAGTGCGCGGCACAGGCGAGCTGCTTTAGGTCAGTCTGAGCGTGCTCAGAGAAGCGTACGAGAGCTCTTTTGATACTCGGGTGTCACGGTAACCGGGCCGTCTCTGGAGGAATGAGGCGTGGCCCCGCTCCTTTGGTCCACTGCTTGTTGAATCATGTGCAGGGCTGGATTGAGTTGCATTGTGGGAGTTTGAATGGTTCCTTGGAACTCTTTGGATGGATAAGTGGGATTTATTTTGCTTTCAGTAGAATATTGCGTTCATAATAATTCAGTAAGGAAAAAAGGATGCTTGAGGCTCTGAAGCTCTTGCAATTCCCGGGTTGCTTTTCAGCAGCGATGGCATAGTGAAGCTAAATAAATAATTAATATTGAAAGTTCAAAGAGTGATAATTTTTCACTAATATACACCAATTAAAGTAGTTCTTTCATTGCATTGTACTGTCACGGTAACCGGGCCGTCTCTGGAGGAATGAGGCGTGGCCCCGCTCCTTTGGTCCACTGCTTGTTGAATCATGTGCAGGGCTGGATTGAGTTGCATTGTGGGAGTTTGAATGGTTCCTTGGAACTCTTTGGATGGATAAGTGGGATTTATTTTGCTTTCAGTAGAATATTGCGTTCATAATAATTCAGTAAGGAAAAAAGGATGCTTGAGGCTCTGAAGCTCTTGCAATTCCCGGGTTGCTTTTCAGCAGCGATGGCATAGTGAAGCTAAATAAATAATTAATATTGAAAGTTCAAAGAGTGATCATTTTTCACTAATATACACCAATTAAAGTAGTTCTTTCATTGCATTGTACTTTTTTATATGTCACCAAATATCAATGATGCTTTAATTTGAGAATTTGTCACTTCGCTTACATGTAATGGAGTACATTTGTTGTTTCTGCTCTAGAGTCGCAGCTGCGTGAGGAAACTCTGCAGATTCTTATGGCCTCAGAACTTGTGGCCCCTCAGGGGCCCGATGACATGAAGCTCTCAGTCCCTGGAGCCACGCAGTACCTGCAGAGTCTGGCTCACATAGCCATCAGCATCTGTGTGGAATCACCTCACCTGTGGAATTGTCCAGAGTCTGACGGGTTTCAGAGCGACCTCCTGGAGTGACTGCTGTGGTGTCCGCTCTATGAGGTTCGGCTGTTTGCCCTGGAACAGTTCTTCAGGAGACTTCAGAAGACAGAGGAAGAGTGTCAACGGGGTCAGGGACCCTTGCCCTTTAACCTCAGTGTGTCCAGCTTAACCTCCCTGGCCCTTCACGAGACTTACCCTGGGTGTCAAGCCATGGTGAGGAAACCACGCTTTTGCTTCAGCATACTGTACACAACTTTATAAAATGCTGCACATTTTTTTTTTAAATACTACACAAAAACAACTTGCAAAAGCTGTAACATTGCAAAACGTTGAACACCCTACAAAAGCAAAGGCACAAAAACAATAACTTCATAAAATGATTTGCGTTACAACGTCAAACATTCTACTAAACTTCAAACTTCACAAAAAACTTCACAAAAAAAATAAAAAATTTACACAACTTACCAACTTCTTAACAAGACGTCAAACACTCTGAAAAACTGCTCTACAAAAACTTTGTAAAAAACACTGTACAAAAAGCAACACTATTTAAATTATTTAACAGAACTTCAAACACTCCACAAAAACGCAAGCACACAACTTCACAAGATGATTTGTTACAACTTGAAACACTCTACTAAGCTTTTCAGAACAAAATACATAACTTTACAAATAACTGAACACTTGACACAACTCCACAAAATGCAGTGCAAACGTTTACAAAACTTCAAACTTAACAAAAATACTTTACAAAACTCCAAAAACCTTACAAAAAAACACACTACAAAAACTTAAAAATAAAGCAACACACACAAATGGTTTATCAAAATTGTGACTTTACAAAACTTTAAACACTCTGCAAAACCTTAACTAAACTTTACAAAATGATTTGCATCACTACTTCAGACGCTCTACTTAGCTTTACAAAACAGTACAAAAGCTTCAGAAAACTTGACAACTTCACAAAATTCAGAAACTAACACAACTTCACAAATGCACAAAATGTCAAACAGAAATAATTTACACAAAACAACAAACTATTTAACAAAACTTGAAACAAAATTGCAACTTTACAAAACGTTAAACACTACAAAAACATTGGCAAAACATCACAAAATGATTTGCATTACAACTTCAAGCTTAACAAAGCACAATACAAAAACTTTACAAATGACTTGGAAAACTTCACAAAATGCAGTGCAAAACTTTATAAAATGTCAAACACTCTGAAAAACATTCTACCCCTCCCCCCCCAGACACACCCCTAGACCTCACAACAAACACAACAGAAAAATAAATAAAGAAAAACCTTACAAAAGCAAAAATGAGAAGCAATGAATTTACTTTGGACTGTTAGAGTACTAGGAAAAATAATCTTTGCAGGTCTCATGATTTTTGCGAATGAAACTTAAAGGGATAGTTCACCCAAAAATAAAAAATTGATGTTTATCTGCTTACCCCCAGGGCATCCAAGATGTAGGTGACTTTGTTTCTTCAGTAGAACACAAATTAAGATTTTTAACTCAAACCGTTGCAGTCTGTCAGTCTGATGTGTAAAGACACGAAACGATCAAGAAGACGTGTCACGCGCCAGCTGTCGAGGACGCGTTCAGGACTGTTCAGACATTGCAGTGCATCAGAGGTAAAAAAAAAACTATACAAATACTGTTCAGTTTCTTGCACAGACCGATCGTTTCGTGTCTTTACACATCAGTGTATCGTCACGAGCCGCAGGGTTTAATTTGGTTTTGTTTGTGTATGTTTTTATGACTCTCAAAGCCGTGATTCCCATTCACTTCCATTATATGACTGACAGACTGCAACGGTTTGAGTTAAAAATCTCTGTTTGTGTTCTACTGAAGAAACAAAGTCACCTACATCTTGGATGCCCTGGGAGTAAGCAGATAAACATCAAATTTTCATTTTTTTGGGTGAACTATCCCTTTAATGCAGGTTAGCAGTCGAAATCCTTGGATTTCACCAGGTTGAAATTCACCATTACACTGATCACAAATCCGGTCCTGAGATTAGTGAATGCAGTCGTCTAAATGACACATGTCGTCATTCTCTCTGATTATCTGAATAAACATCTACACTGTAAAAACCTGCTGGACAAGAGCTAGTCACAGCTGTCTCTCTAAATGAAACTGGCTGAATGTCATTTAATTTCCATTCACAGACTCAATACACACAAACGCAGTTTCAACTCGGAGCTTAAGCCCTGCAAAGTGAAATGGCAGGCGATTTCCTGTTTAGAAACAGGGGTCGCGTTTCAATTCCTCATAAACACTCAACCAACCATCAATTACCCTCCTGTTTTGCCGCTTCTGTCATTAAGCAACGTTCAAACTGACGGGAATCGGCTTTTCTGGAAGGACATGTGTGTGTGTGTGTTTGTGTATTTTCTGCGTGTCTGTTGCAGTGATTTTGGCTGGGCGTGCATGTGTGTTCTTAAAAGCTGTTTTATTGGCCAACTGTTAATGTTTAAAGTGCTGCTGTTAGGCTCTAGACTCTCGATATGGCCTGGTTTCCATGGTAAGTCTACTGTTCCACCAAAGCATTCTGGGAAGTGATGAAGAAAGTTAGGTTAATTTCCTCTGTGGGCTCAAATGGCAATGCTAATAAGAAAATATGCATCGAATTGCACTAAAGACTAGTGCCTAAATCCATTCTGAAAATATAAATTTTAGTCTTAAGACTAAATCCACATTGGTTTCGTCATGTACTTTAATATAATATAATGCACCGTAATATAAAAGACTGAAATATAATCAAGTCGGAGGCCATAGAAAGCCATTAAAAAGATCTGTAAAATGCCTTTATTTAAGGCTCTTGTGCACTCCCAAGAAATAATAATCAACCAAACAAGTCTAAATGATATCAACAAAGCACTGTAAGGTACCTGGCCTGTCACGGGAAGGGAAAGGAAAGACGGTGGGGGTCTGATGAGAAGAAAAACAAGTCTTCCGTTAACTCCCTCGCTCTGCTGAGGGGGGAAACCCGAGGGCCAGAGCTGAACCAGATGTGTTTTATGTGCAAGGGGATGGAGGGATAGATGGATGGATGGGGAGGGAGGAATGCTAACAGACGGGAGGGTGGAATAAGGGAATGTTCATATGAATGAAAGGAATATGGGTTGAGAGGTGTGTCTGGCAAATGAAGCACTGAAAATATTCACAAAACATCCTGGACCGACTTCTCGTGCTCTTTGTGTTTGATTAGTCAGGGTAGATGCCATATTTATTGTGACATGCATGAAAACGAGGCTGTGTAGAATAGATGTACAGTCTGTTCAATGGTTTTGTGAAAATACGGCATCTAGCCTGACTAAAGTCTCCATTTCTTTTGGTGTTTTGCAGGTTCTTGCTGTCCTCCCACTTTCTTCCCTGCTGCACTGGAGAGATGGGATGCTGTCAGGAGGTTCTAGAGTATCTCCTCACATTGCTGGAAACCTCTACACACAGGTGAACCATACAGATGATACTATCATGTTTTTCTTTTTTCATTGACTTTTGAATTATTGCAGAAAATTAGCTTTGTGACCAATGAAAGTGTGATTCTTACCCGTTTTGTTTATCATGATAATCAACTTAGCATAAATACAGGTGGCAAAAGTAAAAACCTATAGGGTATAAATAAACTACACCATGGTTGCATGAGTTCAACATCACCACCATTAGGCTTCCGACAACTCTTTCTTAATCTTGATTTAAAATCCACAAATGGGAAAGTTTGAGTTAGAATAGAATAGTTCCCAAAAGCGCATTTATAAACATGATGCTGTGAAAGAGAACAAGTTGAGTAGTTGAGTTTTACAGTTTGCCATGCTAAAGTTTACTGTCCCAAACAACCTCTGTAGGCCCATTTTCAAGACACATAAAGCTTAAAATCACATTACTGATGTATTTTGTGTCGTAGAATAAAGCGTGAAAATATCTTGAGCTTGTGTTAACCACAAACCTTTTTTCAGGCATTTAACTAAAAACCCATAAAAAAAAACATTGACTTTGGGACGTCGGAAGTTATGCTAGGTCATAGGCCTGTCCTGTTCCAAAGATAAAGATGGAAATCTAAACAAGCCCAAATCGCTAATAATATTTTAGAAACAGAGTATCAGTCTACCATATTTTATCAACTGTATGTATGTCATTTGCTGTTATTAAATTGCATTATGTAGCTTATATCAGCATTTAGCAGCCCATAGCCTATATATCAGCAGTATTAGCTGTCCAGCTCTTTACATTTCAGCAACAACATTGGAAACTGACATTTGACTACCAGTCCAAACAATGGCAAACAGGGGGAACCTTCACATTGGTGAAATTTTACAGGCAAAAGGTCTAGTGTCTGTTGTCAATTCTGTAGGTAGGCTAAATGAAGCACAGCTTACACAGAAGATACTTTTAAAACCAAGCAAAAAAGTGGCAAATCCGTGTGACCAGCTTGAACTCATTGCGAAATCTGCAAGGGTAAATCTTTCACCCTCACGCAAAATTCACAATATTGTGGATTCCCATTGAAATAACTGGATTTCGCCCATGAAATTCGGTGAACAACGATAAAAGTGATGAATGTGATTCTTCCATTCACATCCAGTTGTGCAGAAAGTCCACACCAGATTTAAAAGATTAATATTGTATACTAGATTGCACCAGCACCCTAAAAACATAGCATGTTCTCAGCAGCTGTGGACTCCAACAAACCTCCTCATTGTTGAGGCAGCGGTTTGGGTGGTGGATATCCCTCTGGGGAGGCGAGAGGTACTCTGTTGAGCGGCTAGCGCTGTTAGCAAGAAGCGTAATGGCTTCAGATGTGGGCTCCGACTACAAAAGAAACCACACATACCTGTGGTCGCCAGCCGCCCCATGTACATCAAGCACCCTTTCATATCTACGGCAGAGCGGGAGGGAGATTGATTTACACATTAAAGGAGCATAGCTACCTGTGCTTTTAATTGAGAGAGTGTCCGTATACCTTAACATAGGGGTATTCCCTATAATTTGTGGGTATGTACATGCTAGGAGGTTGTGTGCATGTCTTAATATGTGTTTATGTGGCGGCAGGTGCAGTTGAACTGTTGTTTTTGGCTCCTAGGTACCTGTAGGGGCCTCAGAATAACGGACTTGTACACTTTCAGTCTCTCTCCTTAAGTTCAGCGTTGTGAAACGCCTTGCAGTGTATTGCTGTTTGTACAGTGTGACTTGATACGTGTCTTTTGTAGCATTCTCCCTGTGATTTAAGCAACACCATAATACTTGCTGAGTGTGTGTCTGTGCGATTGTGTAATGCACTTGGACACTTGCAGTGTTGTGTAATGGCACAATTGCTGAGTGTATTTTGGTACCCGTGTTCTGTTGGACAACACATGCTGGATTACACCTGTTCTGAGATCAAGTTAGTAAAACAGCCCCTCTGGACTCGGTCTGGGGGTCGTTTTCAAGTGTGTGTCAGTGTGTCTTCAGTTTATGATCAGACAGCGTTTACGATCAGGGTCCAGATGGTCGTGGAAAAATCTGGAAATTCTAAAATGGCTATTTCCAGGACTGGAAAGTTCATGAGTAAACATTCTAGGTAGTTTTTAATAATAGTAAAACAATCTTTCTATAGTAATTTTTTTAATTATTATTTTGCTCTGCTCTAAAATAATTAGTTGGCTACATATGACATGAGTTCTTGTTCAATAATAAATAAAAAAAACTGTAGAGAATATTTTCTCTTAAAAAATTGCTAGTAAATTTCACAGTCAAAGGGGATAGTTCACCCAAAAAACGAAAATTACCCCTTGATTTACTCACCCTCAAGCCATCCTAGGTGTGTATAACTTTCTTCTTTCAGATGAATCCAATCAGTTATATTAAAACATATCTGGCTCTTCCAAGCTTTATAATGGCATTGAATGGGCATTGAGATTTTGAAGCCAAAAATAGTGCATCCATACATCATAAAAACTACTTAATAGTTAATAAAGGCCTTCTGAAGTGAAGTGATATGTTTGTGTAAGAAAAATATCCATATTTAAAACTTCGGCTAGGGATGCAACAATACCGTTAGCCCACGGTTCAATACATATCTCGGTTTTTTAACCACGGTTCTCGGTTTGGTTCTGATCAGAGTGTTTACCACACATACCTGTGGTCGCCAGCCGCCCCATGTACATCAAGCACCCTTTCATATCTACGGCAGAGCGGGAGGGAGATTGATTTACACATTAAAGGAGCATAGCTACCTGTGCTTTTAATTGAGAGAGTGTCCGTATACCTTAACATAGGGGTATTCCCTATAATTTGTGGGTATGTACATGCTAGGAGGTTGTGTGCATGTCTTAATATGTGTTTATGTGGCGGCAGGTGCAGTTGAACTGTTGTTTTTGGCTCCTAGGTACCTGTAGGGGCCTCAGAATAACGGACTTGTACACTTTCAGTCTCTCTCCTTAAGTTCAGCGTTGTGAAACGCCTTGCAGTGTATTGCTGTTTGTACAGTGTGACTTGATACGTGTCTTTTGTAGCATTCTCCCTGTGATTTAAGCAACACCATAATACTTGCTGAGTGTGTGTCTGTGCGATTGTGTAATGCACTTGGACACTTGCAGTGTTGTGTAATGGCACAATTGCTGAGTGTATTTTGGTACCCGTGTTCTGTTGGACAACACATGCTGGATTACACCTGTTCTGAGATCAAGTTAGTAAAACAGCCCCTCTGGACTCGGTCTGGGGGTCGTTTTCAAGTGTGTGTCAGTGTGTCTTCAGTTTATGATCAGACAGCGTTTACGATCAGGGTCCAGATGGTCGTGGAAAAATCTGGAAATTCTAAAATGGCTATTTCCAGGACTGGAAAGTTCATGAGTAAACATTCTAGGTAGTTTTTAATAATAGTAAAACAATCTTTCTATAGTAATTTTTTTAATTATTATTTTGCTCTGCTCTAAAATAATTAGTTGGCTACATATGACATGAGTTCTTGTTCAATAATAAATAAAAAAAACTGTAGAGAATATTTTCTCTTAAAAAATTGCTAGTAAATTTCACAGTCAAAGGGGATAGTTCACCCAAAAAACGAAAATTACCCCTTGATTTACTCACCCTCAAGCCATCCTAGGTGTGTATAACTTTCTTCTTTCAGATGAATCCAATCAGTTATATTAAAACATATCTGGCTCTTCCAAGCTTTATAATGGCATTGAATGGGCATTGAGATTTTGAAGCCAAAAATAGTGCATCCATACATCATAAAAACTACTTAATAGTTAATAAAGGCCTTCTGAAGTGAAGTGATATGTTTGTGTAAGAAAAATATCCATATTTAAAACTTCGGCTAGGGATGCAACAATACAGTTAGCCCACGGTTCAATACATATCTCGGTTTTTTAACCACGGTTCTCGGTTTGGTTCTGATCAGAGTGTTTTTTTTTGGGGGGGGGCGTTGTTATTCAAAAGGGTCTTTCACACTATGTAGTTCTAGGAACTCAGTTCTAGTAACTAGCCAGCAGGGTGGTTCCTAGAGAACCAATTTCCCCCTTGGGCCATTTTCCTGGTTGCATTCGTACCGGTAGCAGAAACTCTGAAGCAGCCAACAGCATTTATAAACGTCAACAACCGGTGAATGGAGGACGCAGTGATCGGAGCTGTTTTTGTTGTGTCGTGGGTTTTGTGATAACGGAGATGGTATGTAAACGCACAATGTAGGTCATAGAAAGAGCATGGAAATTTGACTAAATCGCCAAGACAATTTGCAGTGTTACATATCATCAAGGCTGAGAAAAGAACACAATGCTGCATCAACAGCTAAATGCTGTTATCGCTGTTTTCCATGTTCGTGGAGTACATTTTTTTTGCATGGCCTTTTAAAAAATGCCATGTAGTCGGTATTGCATGTCGTTTGGCCAATCAGCGTACACTTACGTCACTGATAGTTCCTACAGTACTGTTTTAGACCGACTCTGTGGGTCTAATTTAGTTCCCACAAACGGAGTTCTTAGAACTAAAGTCGTTCCCAGTTCCTGTGATGCAGACACGCCAAAAAGTGGGTACTTCCGCCAATAGTTCTAGGAACTATGAAAAGGTTCCTCCAGTGCGAAAGCCCCTTATGCTTAGGCGACAGGAGCAGTAAGAAAAAATATTGCAATGCTCTCTTTATTTTAGTTTCTTTATTTTTATAAAACTCCACTTGTACACAATCCTAATGTACTGTATAATATAAAATAAATAGACCGTAGTAGGAATGCACTGATGTTTTCATGGCCAATTCCAGTTGCCAATTTTGTATTTTTCTTTTTTTTAAATTAATTTTATAAATTTTTTTTAAGCAAGAGACAAGAAAGAATGAAAATATGAGTACGTGAACAAGATGTGTATTTGCTTTGTTACAGGCCATCTGTAGCCATATACAATTAGAGGCAACTTTGGCATTTTAATCACGATCCAAACAAAAATGCTACACACATCTAGCATGAACAGCTTTTGATTTAAATTAGATTGAATAATTTCTAAATTTGAAGCAAATACAGAATGATCTGACCATAGCTTTGTGAAACTATACTACATAAAACAACTGAATGAAACCAAAACAGCAGACGAACTGAATGAGATGCAAATTCACTCTCTGACAGCAGGTGGCGCTTCTGGAACAGCAGCAATACAGCTTTCTTTTTGCATGGTTACCACTGTAAACAAAGCAGTGCAGCGCTTATGAACACTACTTGAATATGCATTGTACAGAGGTAAGATGAAAAAGAAATACTATCTAAACTTTTCTTAAGACTGTCAGTTCCCCTCAGAAACACATTTATATAAACCTCCAATTCAATATTTTGGATTTTCTTCCAATATTTCGCGCATTGTGAACAGTGATCTTGCTCTGCCTGCTACAGTCTTTTCTCCTCAGTGCGTCCGTCTTCAGCGTGTCTGGCCTCTGTTAGCGGCCGTTTACAGACCTCGTATTTTAATTTTTTTTCAAACAAAATACATTTTGGGAAATGATCACAATGCAGTTTGTGCAAGTCAGAGATCAGCCGAAATAAAACAAAAAAGGAATAAAACTGAAATTATTTAAATGCAAAACTGGAAAAAAAACCAGTAAAAAAGCACGTATTGAACCATGGATGTCATAATGAACAGTTCAATATTATATTGAGAATTGTGGCATGCCTAGCTTCCGCTAACTATCCTAAGCATGTTCAGGAGAGAGTGGCATTTCAGCGGATGACGTAGGCAGAGCGTAAGCCCCTGTGTAGCATGTATGGAAATGCATAAAAGAAAGTATGTAGTTAGGTGTCTTCTATTCAATTACTGTGGCAAAATCAGTTCATGTGGAAAACAAGCCTTGAGCCATCAAAACCAACACTGACACAATTGATCTTTTCTATATTTTTGTTGCATCACCCTGCCCTCCCAGTTTTTGATAATAAACTGAAGTATGCACATGTTCTTGTATGTGTGTATGTGTTTCAGTGTGGAGCGCTACTGTGCCGCTCTCTCCCTGACATCTCAGTTGGTGCTGCACCTGGCCAAATCAACACAGGTAAGGAAGAAGAAAAGAAACAAGAGACTGATTAGAGGAAAGAGTGAAGCATTGTGTTGGAAGTTTCCAGACAGACTTAAGCGAGTTAAACTGGACAGTCTATTGCTCTCTATCTAGACTGGAGCAGATTACAGATACTTAACCTTATAACGACTTAACATTCCACCACATCTCACTACAAATAAGGAAATCCCTGGAAAGTCGATTAGCCGCTAGGTGACGGAAAAAACATCTTTATTTTCTATTAATTTTAAATAAATGCTGTTCTTCTGAACTTCACATTTATCAAAGAATCCCGAAAATGTATCAGATTTTCTACAAAAATATTGAGCAGCACAGCTGTTTTCAGCTGTGATAATATTAAGAAATGTTTCTTGAGTAATGCTGAAAATGCAGCTTTGCATCACAGGAATAAATTACATTT